CATTGAAATTTTTTTTCTTATCAAAAAATATGAGACATTCCAAAATCTGAATAAAGCTCAAGTAATATGCCATTGTGAATTTGATTGATAATAATTTATTAATATCGTTCAAATTTACATTATGGTCAGTGGGGGTACAATTGCTGGTCTGTCATTGGGAGCATGGCTCAGTAATTTGAAGGCAAAGGTAGGTCTCTCTTGTCAAGCTGTCTGTCATTCATGATTTTGAGGTTACCAAATTTGGACTTGATAATCTTAGGTAGCTTGGCTCTGCAGGTTCATGCATTTTCAGTTTGTGACGATCCAGATTACTTCTATAACTTTGTTCAAGGTCTCCTCGATGGACTTAAGGCCGGCATTAGCTCTCGTGACATCGTAAACATTTATAATGTATATCTGCTTTTTTGGCCTAAACAATTTTATTTCTCTCTTTTTATTTATTTGTTTCAATGTTTGATTGATGTAAAATTTCTGTGAACACAGAATAAAGTTACTTTTTCTTACTAAAACTATGGACTAGTTTCTCTACTTAACTGATAGGAGGATTATGTGCCTTTTTTTTTTAAAAAGGATGGATAATCCTTGCAAAAGTACTAGAACTACATTTCCAATTCAATTTCCATTTAATTAACATTTTGTTGGATATAAAAATGCACACTTGAGATCCAGGTTATTTATCTGCCTCTCTGATTATAATTCTTGATAGAGATTCTGATGACTATTTGTAAGCTGACTGAAGTATTGCATTTCTATTACTTTACATATACGTGGATATTTGTATGTGCGTTTCCAGACAGGAAAGCTGGCTTTTGTTGCTGATGATTGAAAGTAATAAAAATATTTTTCCTATCTGCCATGTTTGGATATACCTTTTTAGAGGGAAAGTCAATTAAGGAGCATGTGATGAATGATGCAATTTCTCAATTTGGTGTAGTTCCGTTCTTTTGGGGGTATGTAGTTGAGGATTATGTTTGTTAAGCTCTTTGTGGGGGCTAAATGTGGTTTTTAAATGTGAATTCCGGTCATTAATGATGTATCAAGAAACCTCTAAACATAATGTATGTGATCCTCTTGATACTTCATATAATTGATTGCTGATGTTGTACAAATCCCCAGGTAAAAGGTCTGGGTTATGCAATCAACACACAGGAGGAGCTTAATTTTGTCAAAGAAATTGCATCTGCTACTGGTGTTGTTCTTGATCCAGTTTACAGGTATGTACAGACATTAGAAAAGTATTATCTTTGCATATTGCCATTTCCTTTGTTTCTTTTTGTTACTCTTGTCACGCTTTTCACAGTTTCCAGTGCAAACAAATAAGCAAATTTTCAAATACGTATATAAAAAATCTTAAAAAGGTTGATGCTACGAAATTACATATCGTGACCAATCAAATATAACTCCATATGAGTTTTTCCCCGTGTATTTATTGGGAGAGTATTAGATTTCCTTTGTACTGGGATCTATAGAGATAGTAAACAGAATTAACAAAGTCAAATGTAGGGAGTAGTTTTCTTTTTTTAAATATTCAAATGCAAAAGGTAATGCTATGTGCTTTGATCATACTCTTAGTTCTTCATGCTCGTAATATAATTATGAATTAGCGTTGTTTGATTTTGTGAAAGCCAATTTGTAAAGTGTTTCTATGTTTTCTCTGAAAAGCTATAGTACATCAGATGGTTAAAATTCACAATTTAACAACCATTGTGAGTAAAACGTTTATTAACAGAAGCAGCTGTTAAGAGCCATCATTTCAGTTTGTTAAAAGTTCTATTTATTTTGAAAGTGTGTTAAAATTAGTTATAGATGGACGTAGGATTGAAATTATGACACTCTTCTTTCTATTTGTTGTGCATCTGTATGAGTTTTATCCTTCGTATCTTCTTGAGTTAGTGTTCTACTTTGAGTTGCGAAATTGACAATAAATTCCTATCTAAAATTCATGTAGATATGTCAAGTGCATTAAGTATAGTTATGAAAGTGTAAATTAAGCTGCTTGACTATCACTTGCAGTGGAAAAGCTGCTTTTGGATTGATGAAAGATATGACTGAAAATCCTGAGAAGTGGCAAGGAAGAAGGATCCTGTTTATACATACGGGTGGCCTGCTTGGCCTGTTTGATAAGACTAGCGAGTTGGCAGCAATGGTTGGAAATTGGCAGCAAATGGAGCTCCATGAGTCTGTACCCCGGCAAGATGGTGTTGGGAAAATGTTTTGAAGCAAATAATTTCAATTATATGAAGTATATCATTTTTCATATTGGCGAACTAGCTCTTTGTATGATTGGTGTACTATGTTTAGAACATTTGGATTAAGCTTACCATCGTATCAATAAAGATGTTTGGTTCGCCCGAACCATGTCAATTTCCTGCTTTCCTCTGCTTTTTGCAGCGTTTGGTTGTTGTGGAGGCATGAGGTTTCATGGTAATATTTCGAGATTCCTCGAAGGAACCGGAAGAAATAAATATGAAAAACATTTAATTTATTTGCCGTCTTGGCTTCACTAGCTCGCTCAATAGGCTTGATTTGATCTCCTTCTACCGGTAATGACTCAACCGCCACTAAGGTCGGAAGGTCTTCTTTAAAAGGGTTCAAGAGTTTTGGCTAGGGATAGGGGTATGGAAATAAATTTGGAAATTGGAAGTGGACTTAAAAGTGAGGCAAGGTTGATCATTTGTGAATTCAAACTCAATAAACTACCACCTTCAAATCAAACAACAATTGATTAGGAAACGATTTCTCCCCCAAGCTTATTTATTTTCAACCATACAACAAATATATTTGAATATTTCTCATTTTTCCACTTTTTTATGCCAAAACAATATGTTTTGTATTATTATTTATTTAGCAAGTGTAATAACATTTTATCACTATCATATTTGACATGTTTTTCCTCTAATTTGGTCTGATTTACTTTGCAAAAAGCTCATGAGAAGTGTAAATTGTGACAGGGAGGGAGGTTTAGCTTCGGTCTACAGGTTCGGAATTTCGGAATCACTAAGAGACATATGCAGAATCATATGAATGAGACGGAGTAGCAACAATACCTTACAAAGGCTTTGGCAGTGGTTATACTGGGAAGCAATGACTATATAAACAATTACCTCAATCCAACTTACCCAAGTCAGTCAAAATTCAAGCCCCAAATTTATGCTGCTATTGTCATCAATTAATAAACAAAGCAAATTCAGGTACGATTTATATACTCCGTACTTTATCTCTTTCTTCCGAACTACCCTTATACCCATGAGGGGACAAATAGTAAGATATCCTTTATACACTCGAGGTACTATCATAACCATCCATGCCTTCTAAGGTTACACCAAACTTACGTATCAACACAAATTCCTTAAATATCACAAAGATATGAACGAATTAGGGTGTTTATTGATCCTCGAGATCAACTATGAGTTACTCGTTGTAGTAGTGGAAGTATTAACATGTTTGTTTTGCATACAGTAGTCTTCTTAATAATTTGACATGATTGTCTAAAGCAACTAAACCTTTCTTGGACAGTAGGACTTGATTTACTTAACAATGTTATTCTAAGAAATAAGAGTACATGTGAACGGTGCCATTAACACTGTCTCACCTTCTATATAGGCATTATATGATCAAGGGCTAAGGTTGTTCTTCTTGGCTGGAGTAAGGCAAATTGGTTGCAACCCCTTCTCAGAAAACGGCAGCAATGATGTGGCTCAAATCTATATTTATAACTATTAAAAGTGAGAACTTATTGGATGTTTTCCTTTAGTAATAGTGTGCTGACCATTTTAACCTTAAAAAAAATGCAAGTACTATGCGGCCCTTGATTAAATCATCTGCCTCTGCTCTTGGCATAATCGTTAACTTCCGATTGTACAGTGTTATACCATGGATTTGTTTGTGGGGCTGGATTAAGTTTATTAATCTTTTTGTTTGTGGGGCTGGATTGTGCTGATTAATCTTTATCTTTATTTGTTGTGTACACGTGTTTGCTGGATGGCGTTACACATGTGCAAGGGGATGTGACTGTTGCTGACTTCTTAGGATTAGTTGCTTTGCTACTCTCTTATGTATTGGTTCTATGTAATAGGTTATCTTTGTTGGTTTTAGGATTAGGAAGTGAGCAATTGTTGTAGGCTAAACATTTGTTTGTGAATATTGTAATATGTAGTGTTGTAAGAAATGTTTTGCTATTGTAATTTACTTTTGAGTGTTTAGTGTAAGAGATTTACTAGAGATTATTTGATTTGATCATGTGAATTCTCAATTTGGTATTGTAAATCAGCTAAAAATGCTTATTGTACTTGCATTTCAGCTTAGAATGCTTAATGCCATTTATTTTAGTGGATTAAAATTTGTTAAAGATGAAGTGACTATGTTAGGCCACAGTTTGTTATTCTAAATTAGCTTGGGATGCTTACTGTCCATTAATATAAGTGGATGTAGATTAAATGAAAATCATTTTATTATGCTTTGGTTTTGTTTTCTGTCAATTATGTTCATAGAAATAAGCTACTTACTTAGCTGTCACAATAGTGATCTATTAGGCATGCTAGCAAAGTAGCTAATTTATAATACTTTGTTATTTTTAATGGGCTATGTTATTGGATTTGACAGTTAACAGCTTTGGCTACGGTGCATCTCTTGAGTCAGTAGTAAAATTTAGGTAATTTATTGTGAAATGCAGTTTTTTAAAAGGCTTAATGTTATTGAGTTTGGCAGTCAACAGCTGGGAGTGTTCCCTGGCTACATGAGTCAGCCTAAAACCCAGCGGTTTCTGTGTTTATCCATGGGAAATTTAGGTTAGTTGTTGTAGAATCCTGTAGTTGTTATTGGTATTGATGAGTTTAGGTGTATGAGCCTCTTCTTTGATGTTAAAGACTTTTACTTTTTCAGATTTAACTTTTGCTTTATTTGGATAGGATACATGTAATGATATACAAAGGCTTTTAGGTATAGAAAAAAAAAGGTTTATTTAACTAAATTTACAAATTACATATTTGCACTCACTTATAATTTGGAGTTTATAAATAGGGACTAAGTTCAGTGAGCCTGAGTAGGAAGCAAAGAAGAAAGGACACTTATCTTTGAGGCAGAGGTTTGATCCTAATTCTGGTGACTATTTTGTTGATTTCGTATATTTTGTTTGGTAATAGAAAACTTCTTCATTGTCCAGTTTGATTATACTCCCTTTCATTACGTCACTTGGAATGCATAGATGAAGATGCAAAATATGGTTCCTGCTACGTTGGTGTGCACATTTATGTTGCCTGGACTTGCTGGTGCAGTTTTAAGGCTTCTTTCTATTCTACTGTTGGGTAAAATGCAAATTTCTTTGAATGTGCTGATATTGTTGTGCATGTGTGGTTTGTGCTGTTTGGGTTTAGGTTTTTAAGGTCCATGTTGTTTGGTTTTATTCAAGCATATGTAGTGTTGAAGATTGATTTTCTGTTTTCCTGTTTTTGGTGGTCTTGCAGCTTTGGTGGCTGTTTAATCCCATCAGAAAGAAGTGTTCTTTTAAGTGATGTTCTTTCTCTTTGTCTTTAAAGATTTCATTTTCATTATGCTTAGATGGTTAGATATATAGTTTTCATAAGGTTGTGATTGTGTTAAATTAGTATGAAGTATGCCATTGTTTTTTATTTAATTGTAAAAGATTGAATTCCTGTCACTTATGCAGTATTGGTGCTCTATCTCTTTGTCTTTAACGATTTCATTCTCATTATGCTTGGATTGTTAGATGTATAGTTTTCATAGGATTGTGATTGTGTTAAATTAGTATGAAGTCTGCAATTGTTTTTTTCACAGGGTTGTGATTGCTTTGGCTATGTTTATCCTTCTATATTTGTAGTTGTGTTCTTGTAGACAGTTGGGGTTTGTCCTTGCTGAAATTGTTTATTGGTTTGTAGGATGGTGTATGGGTGAGAATAGACTACTTATTAGATGGTGTTCTGATGTAGGCAAAAGCTTGAATGTATTTTGTTGTAATTGAGGGTTTAGTTTGATTGTTTGGCCTGATGATTAGTTATCACTGTAGAATAGCCTTTATAGGTCCGCCATATTCGTTATGGTCCTTATTTATGCGCACAGGTGATCGCCAGCCGGGATATTTGTATTTCATACAATGTTTGCTGAACCAAGTTGTAGTAAATGAGTATAGACGACTAAACACGAAACCCCCCTCTTAAGAAAGTAACGCAACTGAAAAGCAAATAGTTTAGAAAAATATGAATAATGAATTAAAGCAAGCACAATAGAACGATATCTAATTTTAATCTTAACGATATTTAATAATGAATTATTGTTTGGGATGGGCAGGAAACAAAGCTATGATAGGGGACATCCATTTAAGAGCAAGTAGTACGAAAGTCCTAATTTTATCAGTTACCATACTAGTATGAGTTGTAGCTACTTTAGGTTTTTGTGACAACCTAATTTTAGTGAAATTTACTCATCATTTCGTAAATTATTTGACTACTAGACTTAGTATTTTACTATCCATGATATAAGCAATCTACAATGGTGATAATTGGAATGACAAAGATTGATATATCAAGTCTAAGATTTAACACAATGGCAACAAGATAATGCATTGATAACCTGATTCACATTCCCAACAACAGTCACACCAGAAGATTGCCCATTATGCAGTGTAGAAGATGCATCCCTTGGAATTATTTGACTCAAAAATTCAGGAATGACAAGATTTACTTCGGGATTAGCTTCTTGAAGTTGGGACATAATGACAGATCCAATGCTTGGTGCAAGTTGTTGACCAACTCTGATTTTATACTCTGTAAGAACTCATTTGGAATAATACAACTTGCATTTTCATCCCTTTTTTTTTTTTTAAATCAGTCTTCGTCACACCTTTTCTTAAAAGTCGAATCCTACTTTTGCTTTTAGGATCTTTTACTAATTCAGAGTAAGGATCTTTGGAGTTGCTACCTTCTTCATCTTAGGTGCACTCTAATGCATCCATCTTTTCCTAATTAGAGAAAAAAAAAGGATTATTTATGTATAATATCAAAAGAACGCTAAGCTGTTATAATGTTTCGATTTAACTTACAATATTTTGTTCAGGCTTTTCATTGTTGGTAAGGTATGTCCTTCCTGGAACCCTTCTCTCCTTGATTCTTTGTAAACCTTTGCTTGGGAAGGTTCTTGTTTGTTTGGATCCAGTTGTTGCTATTGACAATGAAATTTTTTTTTAAAGCATATCATATAAAAAGAATGGACATATTTACCATTTAAGTTTCAACATCACCAGCAAACACTATTCTTAAATGGATTGCAATGAACGAATAACTTAGATAACATTCTGTTTTTACAAGAAATGATTAGAGATGAGGTAGTAATTCCCAATTGATGATGTAATACAGCCATCAAAGAATACAATAAAGAAGAAGAAACAAAGATAAAATTCACTAAAAATGAGGAAGTACTTACCAATTCATGACGTAATATTGCAAATGACTTACGGCCCATCGTGTGTATATCATTTAACTTAAGACGGTTCTCTCTATTGATTTTATTTTATTCCTACGTAAAAAAAAACAATAAACTATAATTAGACAAACTTTAAAGAACATAAATTACGAAGAGTAAAGGAAATTCCATCATATACCTCAATCGCTTCATAATGCTAATAATTTATGAGGTCTTAAAACCGAGGTACTGAAATAGTGTCTGGTTTGTGCACCCATCTTACCTCATCAGTGTCATACTTAGAAAACTGATTCTTCTTGAATCTGTATTTATAGTTACGCCAACTTGTATTAACAGCCTCCATTACATATCGTCTTCCCGATTTAGGAACCATATACTTTTCCTATAACCATAAAAACAAGGACACATTAGTAAGAAATGGAAGTCTGAAACCAATGGACTAACTCATAATATTTCAAGATATATAACCTAATTTATGCAAATTAAATACTTTAACATACCAAAACAAACTCCCATATCTTACTAAGAGTGGGCAGATTTCGAAAATCAGTGTAGTTAAGTGGCGCAAGTTCAAACTTCTTCCCCAAAGTTCCCAAGAAGAACATAAATTTTTCAACAATTTCCTTTGTAGGTCCAATTGGTTGGCCAAATGAGTTCAAAATAATAACTTGGTGCTCCTCTCTTGTACGAGCATGAACCTTTGTAAGCTTTATTGGCCCTCGATGCTTCTTCTTTTTAAACTCTATATTATTTTAGTTTATGTATTAGTTCAAATAATGTATTTAATATATATGCTTTAACACATGACTAAAAAAAGAGTAATTTCGGAATGTAAATAACAACATATATCCCTTCCCATACCTTCCTTTCTCCAATTCCAATTCATAACCAACACCATTGTCATTGTCATTCATCTGTAGATCATTTTCATCCCCTCTTATTGGTATTGTATTTGTTTTATCATGATCTGTTGCAACCATTTCATTACTTTGTAATTGTTTTTTTTAGAAGCATTTTAGTTATTATCATGAACTTGTTGTAGTTGATGATGCTTCTTCTTTTTAGCCTCTATATTCGTTCAAGTATTACTCAAAGTATCTATTTACTATAATAATAAGTTGAAATATTCATAACTGAAAAAAAAAAAAACAAGAGTACCTTCATAATATAAATATTGACTTACCCTCCTTTCCATATTCAGCTAGTACCTCCATTTCCAATTGATAATTAACATAGTTAAAGTCGTCATTGAACTTGTTGCAGATCATTGCAATTTTCATCTCTTAATATGGTTGTATGAGTTTTATCTGTTGCAACCATGTCATTATTTTCTAATTGCTTCTTTGGAGCTCAAGATACGCTGACATGGACCCTAAAGAACAGAGTGGCCTCTTTTTCTGCCTTTTTTGTGATATTAAACTTTGTTGCTCTTTCTCAGGATGATTCAATGTTGGTTGCTTCTTCTAGTTACATTGTTCTTGAACCTTCTAAACACAATTTTGCTGGACTTGATGATGCTTTCGTGTAGGATTATTTTTCCTCAAAAATTCACCCATCGTTTGCGCCCGAGCTAAAACCTATATATATGTGGAGTACACATTAAAAGGCAAAAATATTAAATTAGGAAAAAAAAAAAACTATATGTGTAGTATTAAGTCAGATTTTTTTTTTTTATAAGTTTTACCTTTCATTTCGACAAGTGATATTTTCAGTTTCCATATCACCAGGGGTTTCATCCTCATCAGCATGCCAATGATATTCAGACGTTGACTCATTATCCTTGTCTTTCACTAGTTCATTGCACTTTCCATTTTGAACATCGAGACTGTTTTGGGGCTTTTTGTGTCCCTCGGGAGAGTTACGTCACCAAGACTAATTTCCCGCCGGCTATACCTGCAAAACAACGAAAGCTCCGGGTGTTCGGAATTCTGCCTCTGACAATCAAGTTAGAAAGTGTTCGGAGTGATGTAAAAAGTGCGGAAAGTAAAAGTAGATCTTCTCGGATCCCGAGATCAGGTGTTTTCTCTGATGTGAGAGAATTGATTGTGTGTAATAAAAGAACGTGTCCTCAAAATGGGGGATATCTCCTATTTATAGGGTCGTTGGTAAATGTGCCTCTACCTAGGTTATTCTGACCTAGATTTGGGGGGATGCGCCGTTTTGCGGCTTTTCTCGGGAATTGGGCCCTAAAGGCTGTCTTTTTCCCTACTGATTAGGAGTGCCACAGGATTGGTTCATTTTGAACCTCTCCTAAGGTGACATGTGTCACCCTCTTATTGGGCCACAATGGCTGGAACCATGAGGACGACACCTGATCTAGACTATAGAGAGGAAGATACAGACGGTGTTCCGCCTGATGAGGTAGAACCGGCTAGCGAGGAAAGATAGTCTCCTCTGGGTGCACCTAACACTCCTAGTGATAGTATCCCGGAGGAATCTGATGAAGTTGAGTTTGAACAAAGAGACGGTGAAGAGACCGGCTCTGTACCAGCTTAGAGTGAGACGGTGGAGAGACCGCCTCTAGGTCTAGCACTGAGGAGAGTAGTGGCTCATTATCCCCGCTTGAGGATACTGAGGAAGAGGAGCAAAAGAAGTGGAATAAAGAGACGGACCCCTTAACATGCCAGGGATAGGGCCAACATGGAACAAGGTTTGGAGAACTTCAGGAAGAAGCGTCCTCTTGGAGAGGGCTATGCCATACGGGTGCCGCCTGAGCTTGGCACCATTGCATGGAAAGATAACCAACCAAACGCCAATGAGTACTTTAGCTAATATGAGGCGGTGTTCCTAGCCGGTCTCTGCTTCGCCCTCCATGATGCAATAAAGGCAATCCTTCGAGGATACGGCCTTGGTGTGTGGCAGTTGACCCCAAACTCCTAGGTCAACATTCTAGGCTACATTGCCGCCTGTGAGATGCAGAACCTCCATCTCAACTGAGAGGCTTTTGCTCATATGCATTACTTGAGCCGTAACCCAGGCAGCTGGAGTGCTTGGTACACCTTGACAACCCATCCGAAATACTTCATGACCTTAGACAAACCGTCTAAGTGGTCTGATTGGAGAAACAAGTTTTATCTTGTTTATGCCCCCAAACGACGAGAAAACTTCGAGTATCGCTGCTACAATAAGAAGCCGGATCTTTTGGGCCAAAAGTGTGCCAAACCTAAGGTTCCAGACGCCGACTGGGAGGCAATAATAGAGCCTGATTTCTTCGGGGTGACTACCATGCCCCTAGCAACCACCAAGTTATAAGCGTACCCAAAAACTGAGTACCCAAGCATGAGTGGTTGAGAGACGAGGCGTTCTTGTCCGCCTGCTCTACAGCTCAAATAAGAAAGGAGAATGCAGAGAAAAAGAACGTCTAGCTGGCGGCCAAGGGTCAGGTATGAACCGCCTGCAATAGTCTTCTCTCTCTTTGCATATAGAGACGGTTATGACCGATTATATACTTATTGTTTGAATTTTCCTATCCAGGATGGAGACAAGGGGGCTCCTAGATCCCTTACCAAGCTAATCAAACGGAAGCTGGATCACAAGCTCGGCCAAGTCTAGAAAGGTTTCTTTTATTCAGACGGCTCCGGAGTTTCTGCTTGGGAAGGGTCGTCTAACCATCGGCGGGAAGAGTATCAAGAACCTTGGTCTTAGGATAGACCTATCCAACAAGCCGGGTGCCTTTGAGGTGGCGAAGGGTGGCGAGCCACCCAAAGCTGTAAGCGGTTCTGCAGCGGATGTGGGCGATCTAAGCCTTCAGCAACATCCCCAAGGTACGGATGACCCCTTCGACTCCCCCTTTGAGCTTGGTTGGCCTATGCGGGTCAAGTCACGTTCTTAGCTACAGTCGAAGGGTTCCTCAGGCAGCCGACAGACTATTGGTGGCGCCTATGTAGCTTTCTCACCAAATCTACCTTATCGATCCCTCCGGTGGCCGAATGTGCAACAATTATCTTAGACCATGCTGAGGTCTATACCCAAGGAGGATAAGGAGGCCATCCCTGGGATTCATTCGTTCAATGTCGAACGCATTCTCACCCTGCTTTCTGAGGTATAATAACTTAATTCAGATTCTTTCAAGTATAATGCCGATTGTGTTTCTAACATACCGTTCGCATTTATACAGATGATGCTGAGAATAGATGGGCTGAAGAAGTCGTATGCTCGCAATCAAGAAGAGGTAAGGAGGGCCGATAAACGGGCGAATGAGGCCGCTAACGTTTCCCAGTATCAGAAGACCATAAATGATCTGAGATTAAAGCTAAGCTAATGACACAAGCGGAATCCATCAGGCGGCTGACGACTGCTCTTGATGAGGCTAACTTGAAAGCCACCAATTTTTAGGCGGCGCTCAAGAATGCCCAGGCGGACCTCAAAGCTCTGGAGGGCGCCGACAAGGAAAACACCACCCATCGAGCAGACGTCAACCGTCTGAAGGATGAGATGGCTGCTTCCCAGGAAATCTTCAGGGTTACTCAAGCTGCCTCATTGAGGAGAATGAACAAGACTGTGAGGACCGGATGAGGATGGCATGGGACCTTGGCGTCTAGGCTTTGGCCTACCAGTACGTAGATCTTGTTCTTTCTACAAGGGCTAAAGGGAAGCCGGAGCCTGATTTGAGGAATGGGCAAACAAGGAGGCCTCAAACGATGAGGAGCCAGCTCAGGTTGCAGGGGAGGGAGAGGATTAAGAGCAACAGGAAGAGGATGCACAGGTGAACTCTGCTTTACCTCCGCCTGGGAAGGATGCGTCGGTGGCCCCGCCTCAGCAAAATTAGCTTTCCTTATTTCTATTTGGCCTTTGGCCGTTTGTATTTCTGGCTGGCGTGCCGAGTATCTCTGATGTATTTCCAACATTTCTTTTTATTTTCCCAGATGTAAATTCAGTATGACAATCACTCTCCCAACCTTTTGGTTGGATTTTATTTAAAATGACTGACTGAGTCGATTTTGTTAAAATTTTCAATTCTTGCAATTTATGACTTTTTCCATATATATGCTTCAATCTTTCCTAACTTATTAATTGCATGCGGCAACTAACAAACAGGCTGGCCTCTTGCCCCAGGCGGCAGTGTGGTTGGTTTCAAAATAGATCGATTGACTTGAGAAACTTTTGATACTTTAAAGAGTATGAGAGGTTCCTAGGTCAATCAATCACTACCACGATTTCCCCAAGCCAAGTACACAACTGTCCAAGATTCAGGCGGTAATATCTTAAACACCCAGACGTTCACCGTTTGGGTCATCTGTGAAATTGGACTTGATTATCCATGAATATACTCAAGCGTCCTTTTTCCCCATTGAGGGATTTCTCGAGTTACAAAATTATTATGAGCTTTTAATCTAAGTTGGATACAGCCGGATACCGCGTGATGTCAAATAGGACATGTGGTTTTTTTAAGCCGTCTAAGTTCCATTTTAGATTATTCGAGTCAAACGACTGTGAACTAGCCCCTATTAGGTTAGTCAGTCTTTGTCGTTTGTGTTTGAGTTTATAAAGCAATGTGCCACCTAAATGTGAGATGCTCTCTGCGATCAAATCACCCGGATGGGCGTCGCCGGATGTCGTACTCATGTTGGAGCAGACGGCTGGTTTAGATTTGACAGTTTGATTGCACAGGCGGTGTTCCCATTGGGAGACTTATCTAATAAAGCATAAGTAATCAAAATTGAAAACAAAAAGCAATTTTTCATTATAGGCTTTTCATTTACAAAAAATTTTTAAGTCTTAGAAGTAGTACATCTTTAGATTGTCAACATTCCAAGTTCTGGTTAGCTTCCTACCATCTGAAGTTTCCAGGCGGTAGGTGTCGCCTCTTACTTCTTCATAGATCCAGTAGGGACCTTCCCAATTGGGCGTCAACTTGCCTTGCTCATTGGCCCTACCGGTTGCCTCCATTTTCCGTAACACAAAGTCCTCTCCTTTCAAGGGCCGTTTGCGCACTCTTTTGTTGTAGACTCTTTTCATTCTCAGACGGTATATCTCATGAAAAAAGGCGGCATTACCCCTGCGTTCTGGAAGTGAGTCCCATGCTAGCCGCATGGCCTCCTAGTTTGCCTCTTCATCATACAACATGACTCGAAGAGTTGGCTCATAATGTTAAATAGGCAAGACGGCTTTAGCACCGTACACTATAAGAAATGGGGTTTCGACGGTTGCCCCCTTTGTTGTTGTTCTGATGGCCCATAGGACATGAGTTAACTCTTCTGCCCATAGACTGTCAGCCCTTTCAATTTTCTTTTTTATGTCGTCTGAGATTAGCTTGTTGAAGGCTTCAACCTGGCCATTTGCTTGGGGACGGCTGACTGATGCACAACAATGAGAGATCCCTTAGTCTCACAACCAGTTCTTAAAGGTAGGCATCTCAAACTGGGGGCCATTGTTAAAAACCAAAGACATAGGTACCCCGAACCGGGTGATGATGTTCTTCCAGATGAAGGAGATGACATCCTTTGTCTTGATGCCTTTGACCGCCTCTGCCTCTACCCACTTGGTGAAATAGTCAATGACAACTAGAATAAACTGTCGTCCGCCTGGCGTAGGCGTATACAGACCTAGAATGTCCATGCCCCATTTGGCGAATGGTACTGGGCTATGAATGGCCTTCAGATCAGTTGTCGGGTGGTATACGAGTTTGCCAAATCTGACATTTATCACACCTCTTCACCTTTTCCATGGCGTCTGCCTCAAGAGTAGGCTAGAAGTAGCTTTGTTGAATGCATTTGACTTTCAATTAGCTTTGTTGAATAGACCTCAGTCGTAGGCTCCTTGTTCTCAGGAGGCGTAACAGTCTCTTGAGAAACCATCTTAGAGGTACTCTCCCCACTGATGGCGTCAAATGTTTCGGGGATTTTTGTGTCCCCCGAGAGAGTTACATCACCAAGACTTTTTTCCCGCCGGCTGTACCTGCAAAACAACGGATACTCCGGTTGTTCGGAGTTCCGCCTCTGACGATCAAGTTAGAAAGTCTTCGGAGTAAGGTAAAAAGTGCATAAAGCAAAAGTAGACCTTCTCAGATCTCGAGATCAGGTGTTTTCTCTTATGTGAGAGAATTAATTATGTGTAATAAAAGAACGTGTCCCCAAAATAGGGTAAATCTCCGTATTTATAGGGTCGTTAGTAAATGTGCCCCTACTTAGGTCATTTTGACCTATATTTGGGGGGCTGCGCCATTTTACGGCTTTTCTCGGGAATTGGGCCCTAAAGGCCGTCTTTTTCCCTACTGATTGGGAGTGCCACATGTTGAGGATTGGTTCATTTTGAACCTCTCCTAAGGTGACACGTGTCACCCTCTTAGGCCACGTGGCCTTGGTATTTTTACCAAAAACAGAGAACGAGTTTTTTTCTTGCAAAATCTTGTTAGCGAAGAGTTCTGCTCCTGAACTACCTTTAGCCTTCATTCGTTCTACATTCTTTTCTAATTTCTCAAATCGAAGTCATTCATATTCTGAAAGTTGATTTCGTTGTGTTGAAAATATAGACTTATTACCTTTCATCTATAGCAACAAAAGATCAAATACAAGCAAGTACTTTAGCCTAATTGTTATATGAAATTATTAAAAAGGTTTAAAACGGAATTCTCTCCTACTTATTTCTATTAGGGGAAGAGATAAGAGGAATCAACTAAAGTCAAATATATAAACATGTTAGATTTTAGAGATATGAGAAGTAATGCAATAAAATCTTATTTTGGCTACATGATGTAATAGTGAGTTATTTACAGATTTATAATGAGCTTCACCGTTTGTTGTTCGCTTCCCCAGATTGCATAGAAGGATCTAGGCCTAGGGAAAAGACTCGGGTTATTGATATGGTTCATAATGTCTACAAATTTTCTTGAAGATCAGAAAGTAATCTGATTATAAGCACAACAAGACAGCAAAATGTAGATATAATATTTGAAAACATAGGGAGTCCTGACAAATAAGTAGACAAAGATCAGTGTGGAATTGTGGATTCATGTTTTATCTCGTAAAACACTTAAACGATTACAGGAGTTATTCTGAGTGTAGGGACATATCAGTACCAATACACCACAGGGGCATGAGAATACAGAAAATATATATACCCATTCAATGTACCCGAACCAATAAATAATGGTCATTATACAAAGAGTATTGAGTTCATTACATCACTGTGTTCCGGCCCACCTTGAAACTAAGATGATGGTAATAAGGTGAGTTGGAAAAGTAACAATACCCAAGTACTACAATATCATTAAAAAGAATACTTGGAAAAGCTATCATTCAAACTAAATTAGTTGTAGTAGTTCTCATTCAGATTATTTAATTCCAACAAATGAACAACAATTTAAAGTGTCCTAATTTCAGGAATTCATCCCTATATAGGAATTAGAGGTTTGTTGTGAGTTAACACTAGCTGTTAGCTTTTCTTTCTTTTTTCTTTCTTTTCATTCACATGACATTCCAATTTTCCCTTTCTAGCATCTGCTTTTCACACTCTCATACTTGACAAAAAAAAGAATGAAAAGAAGAGACCAAACTACAAATCACATAAACACAATCACCCTGACTGACTATGCTTTCAAGTTTTCATTATGGGCCATTAATAGTTTTAATACCAACAAAGGGACAATGTACAACCAACATGCTCATTGAACAACAAGAATCCCATAAATTAGTCAAATTTAAAGCCCCATACAATTAGATGTAAAACTTTATGATTTTTGTTATAAAAATTTCCCAAAAATTAGCTAGATTGATAAATTCAAACATGCTCATATAATGGTTAAGCAAACTTTCATGACAATATGACATACCTCGAGCTAGCAAGGCCAAGGGGTGCCGCAGCGCCGGTGAACAAGAGCCTCGTCGGAAAGGATAGGATACTGAACAAGCAATAATGATGGGTAAAAATAATCAGGAAAAAAATAGATAAGAAATAAACTAAAGGGTTAAATCGAAAAACTGAAACTAATCAAGGAAAGATTGTTGTAAGCTTGCATGTTGCAACGTCTCTCCGGGAACAACAGGGATAAGGATTAGAAGACCAAAGAATTGAAAGGCTTATAGCACGAGAGATTGAGATTTGACAGGCTAATGACTCTTCTTCAAACTTTCAATTCAAACCCTGAAATCTAACAATACTAATGAACTACCCACTAAAATCTAGCAATGCAAACAGAAAACTCTTTTTCAAAATCTCAATACAAACACTCCAATTTAACGGAATACCCTTTCTAATTTACCTCCCATTTTAACCCAATCAGCCGCATAAACTACCCACTTAAATATAACAATATAATCCAAATCATTAACGCCACAATAAGATACATTAACCCATTCTGATTTACCTCCCATTTCGACCCACCCGTTGCTAAGGATTACTATAACTTAATTTTAACAATTTTTTAAAAAAAAAAAAATTGTACTACTATAACTTTTAAGGAAATTGAAACATTAAATTTTAGAAATTTCAATAACTATTAACTATGTAATGTCAAAAACAAAACTTTATAATTATACCTGTAAGCAAACCGAACAATTAAAATTTTCCACACGCAGATTATCGAGCCACCTCTAACTGAAACAACCACCGCCTCAAGCAACACACCCCCGCTTTAATGGATCGAGCAAATGAACACCACTTTCATCTACTTCTATAGTTTTTTCATGTCGAATTGTCTTAATTTTCCTCTGATTTTTTGTGAAATTTTACTACCCAATTTTGGGTGAAATTATCTACTCTAAGGTTTTTGAGTTTTGTCTGAAAGTATGAATGGAAATATGGAAATGGGGGAATCGAGGAGAGAGAAGACCAGCTTGTTCATTTCCTTTTTTTGAAAAAAAAAAAAAATTCCCCTTGAAATGAAAGCAGTACACTACACGTGTAGGTGTTTTAAAATTTGGTGAAAAAAGTAGAAGGAATTAGTGAAAATTTGAGCGCCTAGTTTATATATCGTTGCATTAGCTACCTGAACATTCGCATTAGCTACGCTAATACAACGGCTCTAAATAGTCGTCACATTAGTTGTACTTCCTAGAATGTTCAAGAAGAGTGCGTCGTTTTAGCCCACATGATGGTCATAGAAAATAGCGTTGTATTAGCCTTTTTCGACTATTGCATTTGTTCAATAATGTAGTAGTGTATGTCTTCAAACTGCATGGCCAAATGTATCACTTTCTACATGACCTTTTACCAGAAAATGAAGGCCCTAAGTGATTAGGGGATTTCTACCCCGCCACGTGGCCAATCAAAGTCCGCCACGTGTCATCCTGAGGAGAGTCCAAAGTGGACTTACCAGGACAGGACACGTGGCAGACAGATATTTGGCGGCCTTCAAGGCCCAAATCCCAAAGCCCGTCAATCCAAGGTTTCTAAACCAAGGGTCGGCACGCTTTTCGAGATCTTATAAAAGGGAGATGTTTCCTTAAAGGAAACACAGGGAATACGACCAGAGCTTTTACTGCAGCATTAATTACCCTCAAGAGTTTACACTCGGATACCGAGGCTGTCTGAGATAGCCGGATGATAATTTCTCGCCAAAAAGGAACCTGATCGAATTTACATTTCGCACTTCTTACATCCGAACACGTTCTAACTTGATCGTGGGAGGCGGAACTCCACCCAACTGGAGTCTCCGTTGTTTTGCAGGTACAGGCGCCCGGAGTCCAGTCTTGGAATTGTAACTCTCCCTTAGGACACTAAAAAACCCCGAAACATTTGGCACCGTCTGTAGGGAGAGTACTTCTAAGATGGCTTCACTGGAACTTGTACCTCTCCTAGTGAGAAACGGCCTATGGCTGACGCTCAAGTCTATACGGACCAAGACACTAATGACGACTTTGAAGTCGAAACATATGTGGCTCCCGAAGGTTCACTCAGGATAAGACGCACTCGTCCCATAGAAAGAAGGGAATGAGGCGATGATCAAGCAGGTCCAAGTCAACCATCTGGATAGCTGTCTGGACAACCCCAGGCGGCCGAAGGCACAAATCCAATCACCCGAGATGAACTCATGAGATTCATGACAAGTTTCAATGGGGAGATAAAGGAATTCATCGATAACAAGTTGGCTGGCTCTAACAAGGAGTAGTCGGCCAAGAAGCCTTCCCATTCTGGGAGGAACAAGTTTGTCAAAGACCGAGAACCCACTTTGCATCCTAAATCAAAGGAGCGGAAGCGGCCCTTAATCGATCTTACAAAGATCTGATTCCCTAAGACAGGGATGAGGAAGGTCATTCGGCACGTCCACCCGGATGGCACAAAGAAGACTTATTCTGATGCCCGGATGTTAATCTAGCAGAAGGAGAGTCAACAGTTGTCTGAGTCAGCTTCAACGTCGAGTTACCCAAACAGCTTTCAGAATACCTCAATGAGGTATTCGCAATCAAACCAAGAGGGTCAATCAGGTGGCCTGTCCGTCCACTCTAGTCCTCAGATAATCCATTCGGCTACATATGTGCCTCAGCAGCCATACAAGCCGTATTGAAAACCTTACATACAGCCGGCCCTCTTTGGGGGGGCAGACGGCACATAACGTCCAACCTTTGGACCGGCAGCTCTGCCTGCTAAAACTTGGGGAACAACCTTCAACGTTCTCCAAGGAAATAACCGAGGCGGCACAGCCGACCGAGGTTAAAAATGTTATGGTAGATACTTATGATGGTACCACCAACCCAGAAGATCACCTCATGGCTTACACCAACCTCATGTATTTACAGGGGTTGGATGATGCCGCATGGTGTCGATGCTTCCCGACCACATTGAAGGGCGTCGCCCAATGATGGTTCGGCAACCTGCCGGCCAGATGCATCAACAACTTCAAGACGCTTGCGTACTTGGTTTATCCAACTTCTCTATGAACATCCCTACTAAGAAAACAAGTCTTGACTTGGGTGCAAATTAGCAGGGAAATAGAGATGGGCTACGGTCATATATCAGGCGGTTCAATCTGATGAGAATTTAGATTCAAGGGTTGTCTGATGAAGTGGCCTATACAGACTACTTCAAAAGTCTGAAAGACGGGTCGACCTTTAAATTCGACTTCGTCAAAAAGAGGGTTGCTACTCTCCAAGAAGCTTTGATGGAGGCGGACGCCTATATACAGGCAACTGAACTCTGTAACATCAGTAAGAAGTCGGACTCCAAGAAGTCTGACAAATAAGAGAGTCGATCATCACAGCCAGCTAAAATTGAAGAAAGTAAAAAGAGAAAAGAAATCTAGGCGGCAGACGGCTATGAGCAGCCGTCCCAGAAGAAAAAGAAGGATTCTAAATCGTACATCGCAAAGTATGAGTTTAACAAGGACTGTTACTCCATCCTCATGGAGATCAAAGACCGGGTGACCATTGAGAAGCCGGCTGCTATGAAAGGTTTCGCCAAAAATCGAAACAAAAACAAGTATTGTCACTTCTATGAGGACATTGGCCATGACACCAATGCCTGTTTTAGTCTTAGGCGGTTGTTGGACCGTCTAGCTGGTAAAGGAGTGCTAAAGTCCTATATTTTGAGATCCAAGGTGACCCTGCAGACAAACCATGAATAACCGTCCAACAAGAAGGCCCAACCTGCTAATAGTTCGGACACTAATAAAGAACAGATCTATACCATAGCAAGCGGCTTTGCTGGAGGCGGCCCAACCATCCGGGGTACCAAGGACTACATCAGGCGGCTGGATGTCAGCTCAGTTGATGAGGGGCAGGCATCCAAGGACACTTTCCCGAAAGTTATCATCACTGAGAAAGATAGGGGCAAGGTCAGGAGGCCGCATGATGACCCCATTGTCATCAAATGCAAAGTGGCCAACCAGAAGTTAGGCCAAATCCTCATCGACACGGGCAGTTCGTCTGATCTCATCAGCCGCAAATGCCTGAAAAGGCTCAAGTACAAGCCTGAAAGCATGCACAAGGTATCTCATCCCTTAGTTGGTTTTAGGGGTGGAGTTGTGCATCCGATAGGCCGAATAGACCTACCCATTCGGCTAGGGGAGAAGGGAGGAGGGAGAAGGACGCCACATGGTGGTCCGTTCCTTGGTTATTGAAGAACTGACCGCCTATAACTTGATATTGGGTCACCCTACTCTAAATGAGTCCAAGGCTGTCATCATTCCTTCTCTTATGCTTCTGAAGTTTGAGAGGGATGATGGATCTGTTGGCTCCTTAAGAGGAGACTAGAAAACGGCTAAAGAGTGCTACCTCTCGGACGTCAAGTCTACGGTGGTCACATCTGGCCAGGGCAATGAACCAATAGGCCTTGACGAAATCAAGGATGCTATTGTTTTTATTTTTTAATGACCAGTTGGTGGCCTTTAAAAAAGAAAAACAATAGCAATCACTGACCGAGGAACGGTCAAATGAATTTAGTCCCCAGCCAGCTGGTGAACACATTGATATTGCTCTGGACGACACACGGCCAGAGCGAACTGTTAAGGTTAGGACGGCTGCTTTTGCAAGCTTGGGTGCAAACTTGCACAATTTGTTGAAAGAATTCAAAGACATTTTTTCCTTTGAAGTGGAAGAGATGCCAGGCATAAGTCCGGATCTTGGTGTTCTCAAACTTGATGTGGATACCAAAAAGAAGCCTGTTAGGCTAAAGAAAAGGAACCGTGGCGAGGAAAGAAGTCAAGCGGCATCCGCCAATGTGAAAAGGTTGTTAGATGCTGGATTCATTCGGCAACGTTACATCCCAGATTGGGTAGCAAATGTTATGCTAGTCAAAAATCCGAATGGTACCTGGCACATGTGTGCTGATTACACAGATTTGAACAAGGCATGTCCAAAGGACAATTATCTGCTTCCAAAGATCGACAGTTTGGTCGACTCTACAGCCGGCCACGCCTTGATGAGTTTCATGGAAGCCTACTTAGGATTTCATCAGATACCCTCCTGTGGAAGAAAGATCAAGAGAAGACGGCATTCGTCACTGATAAGGGTTATTCTGCTACATCGTGATGCCGTTTGGTTTGAACAATGCACCTTCTACTTTCCAGCTGATGATTAATACAGTCTTCATTAATCAAATTGGGAGGAATGTAGAGGTGTACATTGATGATATGATAGTCAAATTCAAACTACAGGCTAATCACCTTGCTGACCTCCGAGAAACATTCGCCATACTCAGGCGGCACAAGGTCATGCTCAATCCCAAGAAGTGTGTCTTTGGTGTTGAGTCTGGGAAGTTTCTCGAATTTTTTATTGATCAAAGGGGGATAGAGGCCAACCCAGAAAAAAATACAGGTAGTCATTGATATGAAGTCACCTCGCACTGTAAAAGAAGTTCAAAAGTTAACAGGTTGTCTGGCGGCATCGAGGAGATTCCTCAGTCGTTCAGGCGACAAGTGCCTTTATTTCTTCTAAGCTATAAAAAAGAAGATTATGTTCGAATGGGGGGCGGATGCAGAGGCGGCCTTTCAAAAGCTGAAAGAACACTTGCACTCTTTGCCAAGGCTTGTTAGCCCTTTGCCAAAGGAAGTGTTATCAGTCATATTTTAAGAAATGCAGAACTGAGATACCCAATGGTTGAAAAATTTGGCCTTTCCCTCTTCATGGCAGTCATGAAGTTAAAATCTTACTTCTTGGCATATCCGGTTGTAGTCTACACAGAACAACCTATCAAGCGGCCAATGACAACTTTAGAATCATCCGGCCGAATGATCAAATGGGACATTGAAATTCAAAGCCTTGAAATTTCCTTCGAACCGAGGAAGGCAGTGAAAGGACAGGCATTTGCCAACTTCATTGTCGAAATGACAAGGCCGGCTGATCAGGAAAATCTTAATCAGGTTTGGAAGGTATATGGGGATGGGAGCTCTACAATGAACGGCTGTGGTGTAGGCGTCATATGTCAATCTCCTAAAGGAGATAAGTATGAATATGCATTGCGGTTCAAGTTCCAGGCCTCAAATAACGAGGCAGAATATGAAGCCCTAGTAGCCGGCATCCGCATGTGCAAGG